TTGCCTATATCTTGTAATATGAGAAACTACTTTGGCAGTAACAATACACAATGTACTAACCATTGTTACTCTCCTAAAATCTTGTTTTGAGATTTTTTTTACCATTGTTTTTATTTTTTTTTCTTTAAAATAAAATAACTGATGTCAAAAAAAAAATATCTATCTGTGACAGCACTAAGCAAAAAAAGGGGATACAAAGGAAGGACCATTTTGTATTTGTATATACAGAATAGTTAGGATAGATATATGGCTACTTTCACTTAATTCAATGAGAAGAAAGATTTGTATTAATGGTGTTTGGACGGGATATCCTGTCTGCTTCTTGTAGTATGGATAACCACTAAGAAGATAACAATGTACAAGGTATTAATTATTGAAAATGTTCTATTAATCAGCTTGGAAAGTGTCTCATTGATACTTGTTTCTCAATAAAATAAAATTAAATTAAAGAAAAAAATTGAAACGCCAAAGTGGGAACCTTCTCAGTGTTGCTTACATCAGACACTAATGGTCACTTAGCAGGACGTTCAACCCCCAAAGCAGCAGCCAATGATATATATCTGTGGAGAATGGCATACAGAAAGTGAAATTAAAATGCAGGAATCCAATCAGATGTAGAGAATGTAGATATAGAATAATGTACAAGAAAAGAACTAAAAGATTAGTGGTCTTTGATGCTTGGTGAAACATGGAAATTCGGAAAAGTGTCTTTGTTGGTACCTAGATTTGCCCCTTCAGGAGTCTCGTTGCTGTACAACTTTGTATTTGACACACTTAGGAATACAACTGTATACATGATTTCATTTTCAAATCCAGATTGTATTTAGGTGTCTAATAGACTTTGTATAATGAATTTTTTATTCAGTCCACACACGTGGACTCCATCCCTGGCTCAGTGGGGTCCAGGCCGGCATGACATGGGGAGTCAGGGATCAGTTGTATGACTTATAATTTAATTTTATCATATATGAAATATGACAACAATAAAAGTTAAAATTGTTTGCCCAAACCATACGTTCAATAAAATTTATTAAAAATTCCAAAGGAAAAAAAGTTAAAGACACATTCGGCAGTGTGTTAACTATATTTTAAAAAAAGACACTATATAGTTTAAAAACAAATCTTACACAGCCTTACATTTCAGTTTTGTTTTTTTTTTCTTCAAAAGCAGTGAGTTGTGTACAGGGGGGTTAAATGCTTTATAGACAAGCCTTCTCATATGGCTGCTTATTATCTGCTGTAGTATTATCCTACATTTCCCTAAGTTTCTTTGCAATATCACCAATGGAGAGGCCAGGATGTTCTTCTTTGATTTTTGGGTGATAGCAGAACAGAACAAGAAGAAAGCTGAAGATCCTTGAACTTCTTTTTTGTTTCTCCTTTAGGAGGAATACAAGTTTTCGTTTCTCTTTCATAACGAGCCTTGTCTGCCTTTTCCATATCTTCACATTTTCCTTTTTCTTTAGCAGACATGGTCTTCCACCTCTCTGAGCACTTCTTAGAAAACTCTGAGAAGATAATGGAAGCATCTGGGTGCTTCTTCTTGTGCTCCTCTCAGCAAGTTTGCACAAAGAATGCATATGATGACATCTTGCCTCTCGGCTTCTTAGGATACCCTTTGCCCATGTTTACTTGTTTTCCTCAGCAAGGTACAGAGTCGCCAAGTGCCCGTCCAGTTCTCACTTGCCCCAGTGCTGTCTCTGTGGAACTCTGTACTGCAGTGGCTGTCACGACTTCTTTCATTATGTCTCATAACTTCTGATATGTTATATTGTCATTCTCATTTAATTGTAGAAACTGTCATTTCTACAATTGGTTGTTTAGGAGGGTGCTATTTGATTTCCATGTGTTTATGAAGTTCTTGTATTTTGCCATCAATTTCCAGTTTCATTGTCCTATGTTCTGATATATGAGATAATTTTAATTCCTTTGCATCATGTAAGTGTGCTCTATGAGCTAGTATGCGGTTTATTTTGGAGAATGTCCCATGTGCAGCAGTGAAGAATATGTATTCTAATATTGTGGGGTAGAACACTGTATACATCTAGGAAATCCATTAGTTCAAAAGTTTGGGGCTGGGGAGAAAGTTCAGTGGCATAAATGTCTGCCTTGCAAGTGCAGTGTCCTGAGTTCGATCCCAGTACCAAAAAACAAACAAACAAAAAAAAACAAAACTAGTTTGGTTCAGTTCTAATATTTCATTGTTGATTTTTTTTTTTTCTACTTGTAGTCTTTACTTTGTAAAGTCTTTTTAGGTGATCTTTTTCTCTTACCTTTCACTCCAAAATGTAGTTTGATAATCCAAATTCATTTTTCTAAACCATATGTCTTATACAACATTGTTATATATTTATATATGTACACACAATAACTGTGTACTGATATTTTTACTGGGTGTCCCTTATCTAATTCGGTGTCAGTATATCCAATGCAGATTCTCCACATCAACCCTCACCATTTTTTTAAAATTAAAATTTAATTATTTTGGTGTTAGGGATTAAACATAGACCCTCATGCATGGTAAGCTTGTGTTATACCTCCAAACTATATTTCTTTTAGGTTTTTTTTTTTGTGCAAGCTGTCACTACACAGCCCAGACTCGTAGTGATCCCCCTGATTTCTGCCTCCCTAGTGCTGAGATAGTAGGTGCGTGCTACCACACGTGGACTCCATCCCTGGCTCAGTGGGGTCCAGGCCGGCATGACATGGGGAGTCAGGGATCAAACCCTGGCCCCTGCACTTACCTAAGCAAGCACCAAACTGTATCTTTTGACCCCTTAAATTTTTTTTTT